CCAATCCACTTTAAAWACAGAATTTAATGAGTTATGGATTGATCTCATGTTAACTTCATAATTTTCAAGTTTTTTTTTCGATAAAACTATGGATCATAATATTATTAACGTGAGCTTATGYAGTATTCTTGTGTAGTTAAAAATTTCAGTTATTTAAAAAGAGGAAACGGTAATTGACTGGAACCGTGAAACTTTTGTTCACCATGGACTATGCTAATGCTGACTCGCAMGTTATATTGGTCATGCTCTGAGAATACTGCTCATTATAGCATTYATATATCACGATAATAGATTGAGGACACTAACCGATCCAAAAAAATACGTCGCTAAATTTAAGAGYTCATCCCAGCCTTGAAATGAAAGGGAAAAACACCTAYGAGATCGTCTTCTTTGGAGCTGCAGGAGTTGGGAAAACTTCAATTATCAGACGTTATTACTTAAATCATTTCACAAATGTTTATGACCCAACAGTGGAAGACTGCTACGAACGAGTACTCAACATTCATGGCAATGTCATCGTCTTGAATACCACTGATACATCAGGTAGCTACCAGTTCCCTGCTATGAGAGAGGTGGCGATACAAAGAGCCAATGCATTTGTGATGGTATACTCTCTTGATGAYCGTTATTCCTTTATCGAAGTCAAGAGGCTTCTCGATGAAGTTATCGCGGTCAAGAAAGCTGATAACATACCAGTTGTAYTGGTAGGCAACAAGAAAGACATGGAACACAAAAGGGAAATGTCCTCTGAAGAAGTTGTGAAAGAYATTACCGACTATATCCGCGTCAAAAATGCGCGACAATTTAACTTACGGCAAATGGAAACTTCAGCAAAAGACAACCACCATATCGACAGCATTTTTTGCGAAATTGTTGACATTTTGACAGATAGTTCATGCTCAAAACCTGAAAAAACTACGAAAAGAGTCATGAGAAGGTTAAAAAGCCTTGCTTGTATGTGTGGCTCGTATAGTCTCCGCGAGTGAAAACTGAAAATGGGTAGACAATAAAAATCAAAGTGAGATTTATTTGGATTATACCTGGATTATTAAAATCCCATCAAAAAAAGGTATTTTAATTCAAGGCACGGAACAAAGCTGGTTCTCCGACATCCAACAAGAACTTCGAAAACAACTGGAATTCCAAACATTTCCGAACTGGATAAAGACAATGTCAGTTATAAACATGTATAATACTATATCGAAAATTCCACCATGCCCTTTTGATGGAATTTTGATTGAAAATGTTGGAAAAAGGGTTTGCAAATCTGCACACTGCTGGTCAAATGGACAAAATAAACTATTTAAGGACTACAAAAGTTTGACCTAAAATTATAAGAGTAAAAAAAAAAAACAAAAAAAAAACACAAAATGTTAGCATATCATATAATTTATACAACAGTATCCTATTTCTAGCCGGTCCGCAATATTGAAATGCACTGGCCTTGATATMGGTAATGCATTCTACAATTTCAGTACTCAGTGCTTTGTAAAATAGCTTTATACAATATGATTCTCTGAAAAATGGCGAATAAAATGAAATACCGTGTCGCTGGTTGTAAGTGCGGTGGTGAACTGTGGCACCCTCAGGCAATTTACCTTCTAAAAATAACTTCATTTGCTATTTTTATCATTATTGCATAAATAAAGTGAAGTTGAAATGAAGAAAGGGAATGGGAAAGTACTCAAATAAAAAAATATCGAAAAAAAGACACTTTAATGGTTGCATCAAATTAAGAATTGGGATGCCTGTTTAAAGCACTCCGKTTGTGGACTGGGCTKAAGGTCAATTACAAAATGGCGAAAAATAATTTGGTGTGATTTTTCGACGATTTCTACTGCATTTTGCGTTTTTAGCATTGTATATTCTAAAAAGACATTGCCTTAAACTTTCTTGCGAAGATTCCTCAGTAAAATGTCTCTACGAATGTTGTTAAGGTGAGTTTTTTGTSTATCTAGAAAGTACTTATTGCATAAGCTCTCTCAAACAGCCTTTAAGTTTGAGTTTTATTTAGGGTCAAAGGTATAACTCACATTTCTTTGTACAAATTCTCAATATTGCAGTCTTTGGACGTACTTAACTTATTTAGTATGTAACAGAAACATTGCACAGACTTGTAACTCAAGCTTATTATCAGATCAAAATAAATGCTCATAAAATATTTTAAGCTTATAAGTAAATTAATTGATGTTCAGTTCGATAAACACAAATTCGTATATGTAAGTTATACGTGGGAATAACCACCTTAATTTATCGAAATTTATGTTATTTACAGATTTCTAAATGATCAGTATGTTGTTGAAAAGGTATGTATTCCTTATATTTAAGGTTAGGTACTTTATATGTTCCTCACCCTGTAAGACATCAAGGCATATGTGCTTGTTTTGGCAACTTTGTTACACTTATCTTGCGAAAATACTTCTTAGTTTACTCTACCCCATTTAAAGGAAAGAAAAGYATTCTAACTTTTTCACATGAAAAGTGAAATGACTCTAATTCAAAATATCAAAATTATGGATGTTCTATAGAAAATATGCACAAATAATATAATATCACTTTTGGGAAGGATACTTTACAAAAGCTATTACACTGCATCTTACTGTAGTATACACAAAGACCTGTTAAAGTGCAACTGGACTCTTCTAGAAAGTCATTTCATTCTAAAGAGAACATGTTGCTAAGCACTTCTGCAAAGGAAAAAAAACATTCAAATTTATATCTTCTGATTTAGAAATATTTGAAAATCGGGAATGCAAATTAAGTGACGTCTACTAAGGAATGATTTAATATGCAAAATCACGGAAAAAAATACATTACTCTTTTTTTATATCTGCGATGATATTTCCAGCTCTTGAATATCACTGTTATTGATGATTTGACCATTTGAACCGAACACAAGATATTGCAAACAATGAAAAACCTCCAGCCCAATTCCTCGATTGACGTCACTTCATTAGCATTTTCAATTTTCAAATGCCTTTAACTCAGAAAATAGAATTCAAACAACTTTTTTTTCTTCAAGACAGTGATAAGCATCATATTTGCCTTTTTTTAAAAACGATTTTCTAGAAGGGTTCAGTTGCACTTTAATCAAACTAACACACAATGATATTTGTATTTAGACTGATTCCATAAGTCGTATTCGCTCCTCAATTTTTCGGTTTGTCCGGGAGCAGAAAAAAAGAGCGACCTGACAGACTGGTGGAATCAGTCTAATTTGTACTACACAATGCAAAGGATACAATTTCMAATCCCCCTCCTCCCTAACCCCTAATAAAACAAATACAGCACTAACAAATCTCCTTTGCAGCTTCCCACCTTCCTGTGTCTGTTGAGACAGAAAGCCAGACAAAAGGGGGGGCTGCAAGAGAGACTAAGCATTAATTGGCTTACGTCTTTTCATTTTAGCTGTCCAACACAACATTAATGCGGCGTTTTGCACAGTTAACTCATTACTCATATCTTCGGCTATCATCGTGGGGTGAGTGGATTTTTTCTCTTGTAATGTTCTTCAATAGTTCTACTTCTACCTCGTAATCCAAAAATGTTTCCATTGTTTTGAGGGGTGTNTTTTGAGGACGCCGTGGCAGCAGCAAAAGTAAGATCGACTATTCAACCAGCCACAGTATCGAGTATTAGCTCTCAGGATATGCAGAATTTCAGAGAAGAAATGTTAAGTGCACTTTCTAAAGTAAATACACAAAAGCCTATGCAAATAACAGCTCTTGAACAAAGGCCGGACAAAGCTAACAACTCGTTAACAGAAGATCAGATTAGGAATATAATTCGAAAYGAAATTAAGAGGAATATTAAGCTGTCCAATAATAATAATTTTGGTAGAGACGCATCGCACACTCTATCTGGACACCAGATTTGCTTTCATTGTAAGAAACCAGGCCATTTTAAGAGGGAATGTCCAGAAAAACAAGATGTTCAGGACAATAGAATTTCGCGTTCTCTAAATCAAAATCGCGCATATGAACCTCCAGGTTCGCAGGACTCATTTTCTGGGAATTATCGTTCGGAAAACTACCAAGGGGTCCGTCAAGCTGGGGGAAACGGATCCCGAAGTCAGTAAAGAAATTTAATTTTGAACGATCCGAGAACGTTGATGAAATTTTAGCGAATTTTGTTGTGAATAAACCATTCCAAAATGAATTAGGCAAAAGACAGAAAGGTAAATCTAAAACACCTTTTGTAAAGCCGATTCCGAAAGGAGCAGTTTATAAGTCGAAGGTTACTGGTCCTTTTGCTAAAGTCACCAAGGAAAGAGCGAAAAACATTTTGGATGGAAAAGATACAGCAGGATTCACTAATTCTCAACTTGTAAATGCAAGTGTTAGTCAGTCACTAAGAGTTAATGGAAACGTACCCCCAATGTTTACGAAAACTTTTAGAGGTGAAATTGGCACTGTTTATTCAGAAAATCACCTTGACTCATTTGCATTTCAAGAGGACCATCGCTCAGCTGTTTCTAAAATGAAACCGGACACTCGAACAAAGACAAAGTTATTGAACTCGAATTTGATAGAGCTATCGTGTGGGACTAACTCACTTGTAGATGATGATACGAAAGTACACACGTTAACTGATTCTAAAGTATGTTGTAACTTTAGCTTTAAAAGAATGGTTTTGAACTTGTTTTTGTTCTTCTATTATTTTATAAGAACTTGTGTTATGGGATTACGTGATTTTCTAGCTGTGAGTAATTTCCTTATTCGAGCAGTTAATCACACCATTTTACAAACAGCATGTCAACGTTTCGAAAAGAAAGGATTTGCTTTTCAAGCTTTGGACTCGTCTAATAAGGAAGGTTTTGCAATCAACAAGGTAATTAGGAATAACGTTAACAAATTTAATGAAATCTGTTCAGTAAGGGTTGAGAAAAGTTCTAATTCAGTTATTGGAACTACTATTTTTGGTACACTATATAAGAAAATTTTCAGTGTACCTCGAAGTTGCGTAATGGCAGTTTGCCAGGCCGTTAGCCAAAATACTGAACCGATTGAACGGAGTTTTATTACAATTACTATTGATGAACAGAATTATCCTTTCAGATTTCCTAAAGATAAAGGCATTTCTTATTTAGTATCTGGGATTGATTCTGTTCTTTCCGCTAGTGTCAGATTCGTTTTCGATCCAGGAATAGTAAGTCTTGTATGCTAGGACTCGTTTAGTAGACCGGTTGGAATTTGGGTGTTTGGAGAATATGATTTCTACATTGTTACATAGGCAACGCAGTAAAAAAAAAAACGGAAATCAGTATATGACTTATTTTTCGAGAAGAATTTTACGCCACACATTTTCTAACAGCGTAAATGAATTGCTACAGTTTTATATATGATGATGCATTGGGAAATGATGATAACTATGCTACAAGAATTTTATATATAAGAGGAAGAAAAATATTTTATCTGCGAGGAAGGCTTGTTACGTTACCTTCTGTTGCAGTATTGCAGGTGCACACAAAGGATAACTCGCATTAATTAGTGGTACCACACAAAGTTTGAAACATGAAATCTAAGTACATTGTCATTGTACATGGTCACTCACTTAGGATTTCAGGAAACTTATGATAAAATTATGTTAAAATATATTTTTAGCGGAATATGTATAGACACTGCGAAGTTTGGGTTAAAAATATGTACACAGAGTGCATAACCGCAAGCTCCAGTAATGTACTAGTCGAATCCGCGTTTCAGCGAGTAGCTTGGGTATACATTTGGCCCGTTTTACAGATTTAGGCAATCGGTATATACTAGTTTTCACCGACTACCTTACTAATTGGGTAGAAGCCTAAGGTTGCGATCCTTAGCATGGAGACACCGCTTATATGCACGTTATTTCCATAGCTGAAATCGTGCGCGGTTCGGAACTCCTTAAACGCTATTAAGAGATCGTGGTTTTCATCCTCTCTAAATTAGTTAAAGAAGTTTTTAGACTTCTAGTTTTAGGCAAATTTCATATTCCATCTATACCTGTCATGTAACAGGGCAGTTGGAAGAATGAATGTTGTTTTGGCTAGATCATTTTCAAATGTATAATTAGTTACAGTCGTTTTAAGGTAAAACTGTTCAGTTTATTCGTTTATACGCTTGCTTGTAAAAAAATTTTCTATGATCAAAAGTTTCGTAGAAAATAAATTAGCAAAACAGGAAAAATGTCATTACGATTCTCAGATTTTACTGCAAAAATATTCTTTGTCACAACGTGTTCATTTCAGTCAAAAATAACGAAAATTTCGTTTCACAGCAAAACTTTTAGCTGTTGGGTTTCGCATTTTCATAAATCCTTTGACTTTGTGAACACAGGGATAGGTACATTTCTCTTCAAACCATGGTAACTTTGCCTCGTATTACAACTAAAACTGCTTTCTGTACTTTTGAATACTGTTGAACTTATCAGATTAACAAACGGTGTTTTTCTGATCCATTTACGTGTAATGATTTAATCCTTATTTCATGCTTAAAATCTAAAATTGTACTTAAATATGATGCACTTGCCAATTGCTTTTAACAACATGGTACTCTGATCTGTCCCGATTCTGTTACTCGTCGTTCGCAAGATGTTTCTTGACTTGGCTTACCTTGGTCTCCTGGTTCTTCAATGACTTTTCTACGCTCACACTCAACGTCNTCGGCTATCATCGTGGGGTGAGTGGATTTTTTCTCTTGTAATGTTCTTCAATAGTTCTACTTCTACCTCGTAATCCAAAAATGTTTCCATTGTTTTGAGGGGTGTTGTTTGCTAATAGCCTCAATGTGGATGGTAGTGAGTGTGTGGTCTGGAGCTGAGTTTCCCTTTTATCTTGATTGCTCCAGCTAGTGTGTTTGAGATATTAAAGGGCTACTTGGACGAAAATTGCAAAACATTAGAAAAGACTTGGAAATCAAATAGACCTATCCATATGGGTGTAATAATCATGAAGGGACAGATTTCAAAAAGATATTGATACAAATCCTTAACAATTTGGGCAAAAATGCCCAAAAAGGCTCACATTTAAACCAGCCTATGCTGAATTGGGTGGCCTGGTAAAATATTGCTTATAAATAAATAAATAAAAATAAAATTTTGGAGTAGATTATGTCATTTACTCCATCCTTTTGTTCTTTTTTGTTCTTTTTCTCTGATGTGGGATAATTCCCAAACAAATATTATTCTGCAATTGTTTTTAATAGATATAAATGAGTCATATATTTGTATTGCTTGAGGTTTTGAAATGAAGCTATTTTCATGCAAGTAGCACTTTAATAAAGATATCTTTTATTTATACTATATTTGAAGATTTTATATTTCACTCAAACATAACATTCAAATAGTTTGATGTTAGTTCATTATTTGCATTTTTAATTTTTGAATGCTTTGAATTTTGGAAAATGAACATGTGTAGAAAACATTTTTACATTTCAAAATGCTCCATTCTGAGGGGAGGGACAGGAAGCCCAACACAAAAATGGATGCAAAGGAGACTAGACTCCTGACTCCCTAAGAAAGGAAGTTTCCATTTTGGGGTGATGGTGACCCTTTAAATTGTTTTCCATTAATTTAGTTCTTTCTTTTCATATTCTAGGTAATAAAAGACTTAATAACCTCTCAGATTCAAGTAAAGCACGAGAACAATTTGAAGGAAAATCACANAAAGAGTTATCCTCTCTCCTTGCACTTCCATATATGGTGTAACGAATCCTACAATTCCAGTTAATGCCAGTCACAATTTGTGAGATGGATTTCTGACAGCATCATCATACATTGGCAAGCCAAGGAACAGAAAATCAAGAGAAATATTCAAAAATTTTGACATAAAGTGTTCAATAGTTGTCTGAAGTTTTCAAAACTGAACTGAAAATATATAAAGTCCGAGAATGGATGTAGTAAATGTGTGAAGTATAAAATTTTATTGCTGCGAGCGAAGCGAGTATCCTTCTATTCGGAACACAGTGTCGATTCAAAGATGTCCCTAACAGAACACACGGTACATACGATTAGCGGTTCAAGTCCATACCGTGTCGAGAGTCGATTCAAAGATGTCCCTAAAAGAACACTGCATACATACGGTCAGCGGTTGTACTAGTTTGGCTTGTGTTTGAATTGCGGTTTTTTTTTTGTACTTTTTAGATGTCAGGCCTCTGTATTATATGCTTGTATAAAGCGGTACCTCATCCCAGCCAAGGTGTTTTCCTTGTACGGTTGAGCTGAACTAACATTAGCTCCTCTTTTGACATTTCCTGTGAAAATATTGACTCCAAACATATTTATTGACAAAAGAAGTGCCKTGCTTTTCGCATGTAGATTTTGCTACTTGATACTTAACGGTGCTTTTTGAGTACAAAGCGTGTTTTTTGGTCTAGTCCAGTTTCCAGTAATGAAGATGAAGTTTATCATTGCAGGTATGGATATTTAATGTGAACTTCGTTATATTATTTCATATCATTGTAGCTTTCCTTTTATTGCTGATGATMGTACATTTATTACATGCAGGGCCTACATGTGTTAGGTTTAGTCGAAATATTAGGTTAGAACGAAAGAAAAAAAACTGACAACTGAATATCATCCTTCCTTTATTAGTGATGTTTTGGGCTGCACTGAGTTCTTGTGAAGCACGAACGTTTCTTGAACAATATATAGAAGGAGAAGATGAGTACACAGCGAATGGTATATATGACTTTGATTTCAGTGTTAACTATTGTCCACTGTTGTTATTTTAACTATTAAGCTTTTCATAGGAAGAGATTAAATGCAGACACAGTCCATATCATTAACTTTCTTTTGTTGTAAGAAATAAAGACAACAAAAAAGTAATTTGCAATAATATGTTTTACAATTTAATGTTGAATATTCTTGTAAAATTRATAGAATGTGATATATGGAAATTGCGTTGTTGTCTTCCTCTTTTTACAACTGAAGAATTTTAATGGGATTGACTGCATGAACGGCTGATAGCTGAATGAATGAAAAAAATCGCGAGTGAATAAACGAATCTGTATTTCAGTGCCGTTTAAATACGGTACCAATCCCTAAAATAACTAAGATGATAATAGCCCCTTGCAGCTCATGGAAATGCACCTTTAATTGGAGGAGAAAACAGTGGATTCTGATTCCCACAAGGGCAAAAATCGTTTGTTTTGTCCTCCAGACGAAGCTGCTTTGACGTCAAACGCAAGGGTTAGATTATTAGACAAATGAAGCTTGAAGTGCTGAACCTTGAAATCTGAGGACTACAACTCCCATCATGCTTCATTATACAAAATGGCGTCGCTGCACATTGCCTATTGTTTTTTATTGTTAAAAGGTTTCGACTGTCAAGGAAAAGACGATGGTTTGTACCAAGATCCTGATGACTGTGCTGGGTTTATCCAGTGTGCTCACGGGCGCACGTTTCACATGAAGTGCGGTGCTGGGACAAAGTTTAACGCAATCCTTAAAGTTTGCGACTGGCCTCAGAACGTCATTTGTCCAGGTGAGCTGAGTGCTTAAACARTCTGTGTAAACACTGCCTCCTGCATTTAACCTATCAAAATATTCATGACTTTATCTATGCCAATTGTCCAGTACCATACTGTCTGAGTGAACGAGGTTTACTGTGTTCAGAAAAAGAAGTGATTCAAGGGAAGCGTCTGAATAAATGTGTTTATATTGGGCATTKGGAAAAGGGTGCCTCTAGCCAGTCCCCTAGGGAGGGATCGCACATCRCGATAGGTTGGCGAATCGTCGCCTGGTATACACCCTTTTAATAAGTCCCGAGGTATTGTATTCTCCGCACATGACGTCAAATTTATTCTTTTGTATTCCTTTTGTATTGTAAAAATTTCAAAAGAATAAATTTGACGTCAAGTGCGGAGAATACAATACCTCGGTACTTATGAAAAGCAGTTGACGCCAAATTTATTCATTTGAAATTTTTGCAATTCAAAACGATTTCAATAAATTTGACGCCAAGTGCGGAGAACACAATACCTCGGAACTTGTTAAAAAGGTGTATATACCGTACCGACGCTGACCTTGCAGTGTAATTTTTTTTTTAGATTTTTGCTCCAATCGTCCAGATGGACTATATCCTGACCCTGAAACTTGCAAAGGTTTTATTCACTGTCATAACAATCGAACAGCACGTAAAAAATGCCCGGATGGTTTATTATTTAACCCTAAATTAAAAGTCTGTGATTGGCCAACCAATGTTGATTGCCCAAYTGGTAAGTAGACTTATCCACATGTGAAATCGGATTTTACCACAATTGTAAATTTTCACGATTTCTGCTTGGTCGAGAGCCGTGTTAGTACGATCAAGGCWGGCAGGGTTATTTTTATCCGCCTCACATTTGCGAACTCAAACTATAATTTCTTTGGTTTTTCTCSCCAGGTCCAGGAAGTGGAGAAATGGAACTAATCTGAATCAAAATTCTTGGTTATAATTAATGCTGTTATAGTGAAATTTAGGGCAACTTAATAGTAATAAAAGTTCAATATACTGTAAGAGTACCATATTATCTTATTCTAGAGTCTATACCTTATAGAGGTTTTTCGCTGACGTCACGTATCCCGTAGCAACCGCGATGGCCGCCATCTTGAAAGTCACGTTGTCAATGTAAACACACGTAGTTTTAACGATGTTCGCGAAAAAATCTTACTTCTTACTTTGTCGTGGTCGTGGTCGTGGTCGTGGTCGTGGTCGTTATTGTTGTTGTTGCTGCTGCAGCTGTTATTATTATTGTCTGTTGCGATTTTTGTTTTTCGCTATATTATGAACTTAAAAGTTTTAACATGAAACTACAGACATTTTAGCATATATTCGAGTGAGTGTTTATTAGATTCCAGAAGGCGCAAAATAAACAAAGTTGGGGGAGATACATCAATTGTATTTATTACTGTTATTACTATAACGCAGTTTTAAATTCATTTTTCATGTGAACCCAACCTGATGTTTTATTGCCTTTATCTATAAATTTTAGAAAAACGTCRCACACTTAATTGCATGACAGAAATCTCTTGTATCTGAACTAATGATATTAACATAGCATAACTAATTAATAATTAATTAATTACTGGGGAAAAATGCACACTTTTCCGGTCTCCTTGTCATCGTTAGGCTCAGTCTCCAGCCGTCGGGATTTCGTGCGCCCGCGATACTCTCTGCCCTGACGGCTGGGCGCATGGGGTTCGCTATTGTCAGTCTTGACCAATCAGCGAGTGGCCCCCGATATTTTCAGGGGCATATCATTAATAAATTAGCAGGCAGCAGTGTAACAAAATGGCGTACAATTCGTCGTTTGAGATTCTCTTTGAAAGTGCTTGTTTGAAGGCTCTGAAGTCGTTTAGCTTGGACGAATTTAGAGAAATACAGCAAAAGGCTCTTAAAGAGATTGTTCTTGGAAAAGATGTCCTTGTTATTCTTCCTATACTGGCTCGGGCAAATCTCTTATTTTTCAAACAGCGCCACTAGTGTATTTTGCTCGTTTTTCTGGCAGATAATACATCCATTTGGATTATTAAACCCTGCACATGTTTTACTTGGGGTAATTTCCATTCCTTTCTCTTTTTTAAAGCGCTAACTATTACATTATATCGCTACTTCGCGAAGTTTTCATTTCACATAATTTCCCGCCTTGTAGCAAAACCTTTACGGCTGTTGTCAGATATTTCACTTCCGTTCACTGAAAAATTCACTTCCGTTACGTCATAATATGCTAATTACACAAAAACGTCACGGACATGCGCGACACGTTTCGAACCCCATGCGCCCAGCCGTCAGGGGAGAGAGTATCGCGGGCGCACGAAATCCCGACGGCTGGAGACTGAGCCTA